CTTCTTCCGTCTCGTTTGCCCGTTTTTTTGATCAGCCAGCTCACGCAACGCGGCCTTTTTCATGTCAGTTCTTACCATCAGATAACCCTTGTGCAATTTCGCAGGTTGGGGAGGGGAATTAGGGCCTCCACCTTATTACAGGTAGCCCTGCGCCAATTTCCAGGGAGGTTGGGATTAGAAGTGTTAGGATTATGTTTATGAGGACGCGTAAGGGTCAGGATTGTCGTAGAGTTCGGATTGTTAGGCGTAGAATTCAGTTTTGCAGGGCTCTATTTAGGGTTATGAGGGCTGGTGCTATGGTTAATACTAGGACACAAAATAGGTGACTCTCTGGATTTATTGCGAGGCCACCGGTAGTAGGGAGATGACCCATGTTTTCGTGTCCGAGTACTCCATACTTCGAGTTTTGTCACCTAGGATTCAGTTTGCCACAAGTTTTATGCTAGGTAGGTATGTGTTCCTCTCCCTGCCGTGGGGCGAAGACCGGCGACCACTATAAATGCATTTAGACGACTACCCCATCTTACATTTGATAGAGAGAAGGCAGTGTGAGCAGCTAGCTTAAATCACTGCAAATTTTCAACGCTTGTTAAGAAGCCTTAGTCGGGCTTATATTCTAACTGCGAAGGCGACAAAGTTGTCCTTTATAAGAACACGATAAAATGATCTTAAGAAGTTGCTACTTTCACAATTCATTTGGGATGATGTATAACATTTGCTAGACAGCCTGCTTGATACCGCCTCCTACAAGCACCGGGCATTGAACAGACTACGGCGATCGTAAGCCACACGTAGTCTGGCATCCATGGTCGACAGTGTTGAATGATCAAGCCGAAACCCGGCACATTTCAATATTTGTGGCAGTTGAAATAAGTCAGTACACACCTTCGAAGCCTGGTCTGAATTCCGTTTCGATCTGTCCTCTTAGCCGCCTACTATGCCCCCTTTTCTGTCCCCTGCTTCAGAAATATCGTGACATTCAGCCTTCACTTGCTCTTTCGACACCTTCCGAACTACATATAACGTTCAGAAATAATTTAGAAGATAGAATGAATCGGAATTGTTTATATGATCCCCATGTTCTAGCGTACCCTTAGCTGTAACTCTGACTCTAAAATTACCTTAACGGGGAGCATAACTAACCTAAATCCCCAACCTGATTCCACGGAATTCAGCACAAAGCCACCTGTATTATCAATGATTGCATTTCTCATGTCCTGTCAGGTGCCATATAAACAATCTGTATCATATAAGAAACGGTTACTTAACGCCTAACCAGACTGGAAATGAGTATGACATGCCGGTTTGATCTCCGCGTTACCTCTTAATTTGCTTTACTATCCGACCTGCGAACGCTCTCACCTCTGCAATGTCTCGCTGACTGCATATGAGTGACTGCTTCCAGTAGGATAGACGCTCCCTAGGCCTGCAAATGAGGGCTTTAACTGAATTCGCGGTCCAGCAGAAAAGCCTGCTTGAACAGTCTTCACAGGCCCTGATTGTTGTGAAGACAATCTGCCACTCACATCTGAGTCCATTTTATTTTCAGGTGTCACTTTTCATGGTTGCAACCCATAAGAGCACGCTATTTGCCGTTTCCAATTTCTGGCCCTTTGGTTGTCTCGCTCACACTTCTTAATCTTCTTCTCCTCCTCTCTCTTTCTGTCCAGCTTGCGAAGAATTGTTGCGAGCCATGCTCTCCAAGTCACCCACCCGCCGACCCTCCATATCGCAAATTTACCGATTCAAATGGTTGGCTAACCTCGACAGCTGCCCTCTGCTGCGAGAACCTTCCCTTCCGATTCCCGAGCATATGCTCCCCTTCATGCCCTTCGCGGCTCCCGCTACCTCAGGCACCGACCTGCTCAGTGCCCTTCCCACGACGAGTGTCAGATACCCTCGAGTCTCCTTGGTGTGCCCGTCTGGCCTAAACTTGGCCGCTGAAATGAAAGTGAGTATACTTCTTCAACTATAAAAAATACGAATTGGAGGGGGCGGGGGCAGAAAGTGGTGTGACGCGACTGTAAGCAACTTTCTGCACTGACAGTGAATGGAGCTGTGCGGTTTGATGTGTTGTGTGGTTAAAGTCAGCCTCTTTGTGTGAGGATGTGGTAATTCGACGCCCATTGTTCGGTTAATCTCTGCACTTGCGAATGTGGCCAAGTTAGTGGGAACTTCTGCGTCCACAAATTATGGGACATTGCCTGCGCACCACCTATAAT